TTGACTAGTCATTTCTCTTCACTTTGTTCACTACCTTTGCCATTTCCACGCTGGTGACAATGTTTTGTTTTGCGGGGCATGGGAAAGGGAGACGGGGTATATTTCTTGCTCATTCCTGACTGTGGACTGGAGAGCTAGCTCAATGGGGCCAAGTGCGTGCTTTGCATGGAGGAGGCCGGGTTTAATTTCTGGCACCCCAGTAGGAATGATCACTGAGCACAGAGCCTGGAATAAGCAGTGAGCAATGTGAGTGTGGACATAAATGAGACTAGAAGAAAAATTATAACTCAAATATTGGAATATGTCAGTATTATGTCATTATTTTTTATTTATGGGCCACACCTGACAATGCTAGGGGTCACCTGAGGAATTATTCAGGAAAAATACGGGGTTCTGGGATCAAACCTGGGTTGGCTGTGTGCAAGGCAAGCTCCATACCCACCCCCTTGACTGATTTTTTCTTAGAATTCTAGATTGGAGTTAACGGAACATTAGAGCTTGCCTTGCACACAACCAACTAGGATTCAGTACCTTCACAGTATCCAGTATTGTCCCCCTGAGCACTGCCAGACTGATCCCTGAGTGAGCACTGTCAGGAGTAAGCACTCACAATCTCTGGGTGTGCTCCCAAGCCTCGCCGCCCCCCCCCCCCCCCCCGCAAAAATCATTCTAGATTGGAGTCTGGTTGTAGTACAGGGATTAAGTACAGGGATTAAGGCCTTGCATGAAGTCAACTCCTTTGTCCAAGCAGAACTAGAAGCAGTTCCCAAACACTGCCAGGGAGTTTTTTATTGGAAATAATTGTCATTTTTTTATTGGAAATAATTGTCATATTTTGAAGATTTTCAGTGTTAGTGTTGAGAAATCTATTGCAATTTTTTGACATTTAAGAATTTGGTTATTACATTTTATTCAGTGTTCTGAAATGCAAAAGGAACACACATTGTTGAACTCCCCTGAGGATTTCCAGGAGTGAATCCTGTGCAGAGCCAGGAGTAAACCATGAGCACAGCTGGGTGTGGCCCAAAGACAAAACAAATATTAGCACAACTATGCTTTAAAAAGTTTAAAAACCCAAGTCTGGGGGCAAAACTCAACAGCACTCAGGGATTACTCCTGTGTGCTCAGGAATCACTAATAGCAGCTTGGGGACCATATGGGATGCTGCAAATCAAATCCAGATCAGCTGCATGAAAGGCAAGCACCCTTCCTGCTGTATTATAGCTCTGTTCTGGAAATGAGTTTTTGGAAATAACTGTACCTATAATTTAAAACCTTAGTAATTTCAGATTAGCTGTATTCATTCGTATGTGCATAGGTATCACTACCTACACATTGAGATTTCTTCCATATGCAAGCTAAAAAAAGAAACATTGTGGCTGGAGGTTAGTACAGCGGGTAAGAAGCTTGCCTTAGACATGGATGACCTGAGTTTGATCCTTGGCATCTTAGATGGTTCTTCAAACCCATCAGGTGTGATGCCTGAGCAGAGCAAGGAATAAATCCTGAGCAAAGCCGGGTATGGTGCAAAACAAAATGATCTTAAAGGAACAAATGACTAAAATACTGATTTTTAAAATTTATATAACTTTAGTCACTGGAACTAAGTAATTTTTCTATAGAACCAAGCTAACATGAACGTGGGAGGGGCCCCTGGGACACTGGTAGAGGGAAGGGGACTGTCCAGTGATGGGTGTGGTATTGAATATGTATGCATGAAAATGATTTATGGTATTATAAATCCAAGTATCTTAATAAAGACGGATTTAAAGATATATATCCTGGAGCCGAAGAGATAATATAGCAGGAAAGGTGATTATCTTGCACAGAGCTCACTGAGTTTCAATCTCCACCGTCCCATATGACCTCTCGAGTCTGCCAGGAGTTGAGCCCTGAGTACTTCTGGGTGTGGTTCAAGTAAGAGAAAAAAAGAAACCCCACCCCGAAACCAAAACTAAAAAAAATATATCCCCTGCAAATACTTCATTAAACTTGTAAAACTGAGATCAAGTAATCTTAAGAGCCCAGAAAAAATGATAGTGGCTCAGGCTAAGTTGATTGCAATGGTAAAAAAAGGATGAATATGCATTTTTTAAAAGTAGATTTGACTGAACTTGATGAATGTATAATGGGGATGGAAGGGACAGATAATTCATGCTTTAAGTCGAATGAGGGATAGATAATGGGTTCCTGTAGCACAACTAGGAATGACTCCTGAACCAGTCATGAGCCCTGCCTGTACACCACCAGCTCCAGTCCAAATAAAACAAAATCAGGGAACTGGTGTTGAGAAGTGGACTAAGGATCAGTTTGTCAGAATATTTTTGTCTTTGGGTCCTACTGGGCTATGCTAAGGGATCATCCTAAGAGTACCGGGGGACCATATGCAGTGTTTGCAATTTAATCAGGGTGGCCACAGCAGGTGACTTAAACCCTTGTGCTATCTTTATGTCCTTGTGAGTTTTTAAGGAGCAATTCAGAAAGAATTCAGTTTCTGAGACAGATTAGTCCAAAGATACTAATATGGATATCGGGTAAGAAATCAACAGGCTGAGTACACGCTCTGTTTGCAGAAGGCCCAGGTTCCAGCCCCAAGCTGGGTATGGTCAAGTGTGTACAAGTCCAAGTCCATTATTCACTGATCTTTCTGGGCCCACTTAGTTTGAAGAGTGAGTCTGAATGTGTTGCATGTTTTTAGCTTTTCGTCTTCTCAATTAACAAAATCTTTAGTAAAGCAACATCTCTAAAGATCCCAGTTTATTATTTCAACTGGTTCTGCTGGACCCATTACACAGTAGGGTGATATATTCCCGCAAAAGACTCCCCTCATAATAAGAATGTAATTTTCTGGTCAAGAAATAGTATTGGGGTAAAGACGCTTGCCTTGTATGCAGTCTACTCTATTGTGACCCTTGACACTGCATACATTTCCCTGGAGCACCACTAGGTCAGGCCAAATATCCTATCCATTGTACTTTTGCCCTGGACCCCAAAATGGTGTCACTATGTAAATAATCATGGACTATTTATTATACTAGGAATTGACTGAATAAAAACACCATTTGAAATTTCTTGTTTTGCCACATCTGGCAGTGCTCAGGAATTACTCCTGGTTCTGCACTCAGGAATTAGTCCTGGCAGTTGTCAGGGGACATTAGGGGATGTCAGGGATGAACCTGGGTTGGTCACATACAAGGCAAACGTCCCACCCTGCTGTACCACATTTGACATTTCTGACCTCAATAATACAAACTTTGATAATTACACCTGGACATAGACCTCAGGCTGATCAAAGAATTATCCCTCAAGACAATAGTATGGGTTAGTACAAGCAGCTAAATTGACCTGGGTTTAATTCGAGTACTAAACATGGTTCCCAAGCACAAAGCCAGGAGTAAAGCTGAGCACAGCTAGAGAATTATTTTCCCAAACAAAACACATTATTAAGCTAACACCAATGAGCTTGAATTTGAAATTACACATTTTGTCAAAGATCTATACAATATAATTCTTCACCAACATGATTTAGGTATTAGCTCGACTCTAGGTATATAGAAAGCAAATTCAAATCTCAGGAAAAGAGTTCACTCCCTTTACCGTCTTATATAGGAGTGCCTCATTACCCCCTCTTCCTATGAAGATTTAAAACAACTTTCAAGGATACAACTAATCAAGTATATGTACAGTAAAGGTATCTTGTTCCTAAGGCTGATTTTGATCTATGTCCCACTAAGCTTCTACTAATAAGGAAGAAGGAAGGTGTTTAGACACAAAGATTACGTGAGTTGAGCCTGTAGGAGGGTATGCCCTCTCAAGCCTTGAAACCTTAACAGGGATTCCTCTTTAAACCCATGTGTTCCTTGCTTCACTTAAAAAAAAAAAAAAAAGGCAGTTACCCCCACCTCCACCTGCCAGGTTTTTATTTTTTTTGGTGGGAACAAACCAGCCATTTCAGAGACATTACTGAAATGCCTTGTTTTATTCCCGAGTACTTCCAAACTTCATTTTAAAATGTCAACATATAGAACCACGCTAATATATGAATAATTTGAGCCAGTAAAGAAAAAGTAAATGTAAACCAAGTTTATTTGCTTTTTAAGTAGTGTTCTTAAAGCACTACAGCTTGGTAAACAATGTAAATTAGTATAAGTCATCTCAAAAGCCGGAGTTTTTTGTTTGTTTGTTTTTTAATGAGTCGTTAAAAAGATGCAGCCTATTCTAACAGGATAAATATTTTTAACCATTTCACTTTGAGTTAATGAAGGCTCACAAATGAGCAACACTCCTCATTGAGGAAAACAAAAAGCTGTTGTCGACAAGCGACAGCACACACACACAAAAACAAAAAGAACTGTGTAAAAATAACTAACTGTGTTCCCATATTTTTTGAAGTTGCTTTACAATGGGATGATATGCACATGATCTTGCTGCAAACTTGCCATACAGACTTGTAATACATGTAGTCTAGACAAACAATTCAGTCAAGAGATGCTAACTTTAGACAATGCAGCACTTTAACAACGCAATTTGTTTTACTCATTATCTTTTCTTCTAGACTGATATACAGGCTAGAAAGAAAATGTTCCCTAATTAAAAATTGGTATTGTTTACAGGAAAAATTGTATAATTTTGCATTAGAATTTACAAGTAGTATATGTTCAAATTGAATTTGACTCCTCCCCCCATCCCATCCACAAAATGGGCATGAAGTAAAATCTTTTAAAATGCCTTAATTTTTAACTTCATGCAAACTAAAGATGACCAAAACAAAAGCTTAAACAATGGAAGGATATTTCACAGAAATTTCTTATACAAAAAACACATAAGAAAAGGGCCACTAGGTGACATTTTAATTTACAAATTGGCATCATTTTGGTCGACAAATATCCAGATGCTGTTTTCTTCTGCTAACAAAAGTTGCAGAGGAAAAAAAGAAAAAAAAAAACCAACAAAACAAAACCAAAAAAAAAAAAAAAAAAAACCAAAAACAAAACAAAACCCCGAAAACCCTCCCCAAAAAACCCAACCAACCCAGCATGACTTCTAATTTTAATCACACATTTCTTCTGGAATTTCATGTGGATTAAGGATGCCAGGAACAGACATCTGAAGTTTATGCTTCTCTTCCTGAGCCTGTCGAAGGGCTGTTTCTCTTTCTTCCAAAAACAGATCAGAAGTATCTTCACCTGCAAACTCCTATGAAGACAGACAATTGAAAAGTCAACTCCGCCCCCCCCCCACCCTTTTTGGGTCACACCCAGCAATGCTCAGGGGTTACTCCTGGCACTGCTCAGGGGACCATATGGGATGCTGGGAACAGAACCCGGGTCGGACGCGTGCAAGGCAAATGCCCTACCCGCTGTGCTATCACTCCAGCCCCTTTGAAAAGTCAACTGAACCTTAGCTTTGGATGTCTAAGCAATATCCCAAACCCTTGTGATTAAATATAAAATAAATAATCCCCCCGCCCCCCCCGCTTTTTAGTTCACACCTAGTGATGCAGAGATACTTCTGACTCTGCACTCAGCAATTATTCTCACGATGTTTGGGGAACCAGATGGAATGCAGGACATTAAACCTGCATTGGCCTTGTGCAAGGCAAACACCCTCAACTCTGGCACAAATTGTTATTTTAAAAGTCAGAGAAAAGATATTACATAAACTACTCAATGGGTTTTATACATTAAAATTTCTTTTAATAATATAAAAAGCAAATGAAGTCAAAGGAAAAAAATCCTCTTAAATTTGAATCAGGTATCAAGAGATAGCACAAGTAGAAAGGGTGTGTACTCTATGCAAATGTATTGTGACCCTTTGCATTCCATATGATCCCCTGAGCCCTACCCAGTGTAGCATGCCCCCGAAGTTTGAATCAAACACCATGTAACAGTAAGACAAATAGCGGCAATCTACTAACACCAGTTAATTTTACATACCTTTATTTGCACTAGGAAATCCCTAAGGTGTTCCTTGAAAGCAGGAATATCCTGATTTAAGCTGAAAAGCCCAGTCACAAAGAGCTTTACTTGAGCACTGAAAAATCAAAGGAAAACACATGATTAAATCATCACATTTATTTTTAAAACTAGAAAATTTAGGTTATTAAAAGGTATATTTACTCTTGTAGATGAGGGAATGCAGACTTAAGGAGATTAGCCACATATTCCTGAATAAACATTTGGTTGTTAACTGGATTCCCAGGATTTAATGGTGTACTTATTTTTCCTTCTTCAACCAAATTAAACATATACGCGAGTATTGATGCATGCATTGTTAAACCTGTTGATAAGAATATTATTAACTCAAAATGTGGTAACAAGTGGAACACAGAATTTGTATGGCTTAAAAATGTTTTCCTTTATAAACACACCTAGTGGTACTTGGAATCAAAATGGGGGGCTAGCTGCAAATTATCCATTTGCTTTACCGTCTCCATCTGGTAATGCTTCTCTGCCACCCACCGCATGATATTTTAGTGGTAGTTACAGTAAGTGTTAATTTCTGTGGCTTTAATGTATAAAGTTACTGCACCTGTACCACCACCAAAAGGCCCAAGACCCTACTCAGCTTTTTTAGTCTCTCCCCCATGGCTTAAACTCTTACCAGCAGTATGTGAGGTGTCTGTCACAACGGAAAAGATATGCTGAAGAATATCACAAAAATAAGTTTGATAGAAACTCTGAGCTGCAGCTTCTTCTTGAGCAACATTTTGTAAGAGTGTGAAAAGTATCTGTAAGCCTAAAATACACAAAACACCAACATATTACAGACTGATAACATTCTTGACAGTGTGTCTATGGTACCCTGGCTGTTCTGATTCAAAGGCCACACTCTTTTCCTTTTGACTAACAATTACTTAGCATTACCTTTGGGTGCTTCTGAAAATATAGTTGTTTTTCTCTACTTCCTAAATAACTAAGCTACACCTGTCAATCATATACAATTATCATTTAGAAACAAACCAAGGGCCAATAAGATAGTACAGCAGATAAGGTGCTTACTTTGTATGCTAATGACTGGGCTTTATCCCTGGTATCAGTAACCTTATCAAGTTTGTCATCACTGAGAGCAAAGAGCAAGAAATGCGCAAATCTAGGTGTGGCCTCCCCCAAAACCCATGAAGTAAGCAAACAAAAAAATCAAAACTCATCCTGTCAGAAATGCAATTTTTATTAATTCCACAGAAAAAAAAAAGAAGGTATGACTGGACCAGCCCTCTATCTTAAATGATATGCTCATCTCCCAACTATAGACTTACTATAAGGTGGTTAAATGGTCTACAGGACTTAATCTTGACATCCAACACATGCACTCAAAATTCTTACATATGAAGTAAAAGCTGCATATACCTACATTTTTCAGTATCAGTAGCTTTTGGATGATTGATAAGCATGGCACAGGTTCAATGTAATTACCTGTATCTGCGACATTCCTCATAGTATGTTTGAAAGCCCAGATAATGGAATCCAAAACAAGTTTAAACTGTGCAGGTGGAATAGCCAGGAACGCTGGGAAACAATGAGAATTGACAGCCTGAAGCAGCAAGAAAAAGTTCGTTCTGTGTTCTGGATATTCTTCAAAGTCCTTTAAAAAAAAAAAAGGAAAATAAAAGTAGTTTAATGCCTCAATAACATTACAAGTAAGAGGGAAAAGTTTAGAATAAATTATTTGGCACTGACAGTGAATACCATAGGCAAGGCTTCTCTTGGAATCAGATAATGTTGCTCAAGTTGTAAATGTATACAATTATTATCTATCCTGTCCTGCAAGAGTTATTAAACATAGCAGTGCAGTGTTGTGTCAGACATGGCAGTTGAGGCCTCACACATGCATAACACATCCTTACGCCTTTCAGCTATCTTCAAAGTCCCATTCAATAAAATTTAAGACATTCAAATGAAGTAATTAGACTAACTTATTATCCAAACACTTGATATTTTGTTGGTTCTTTAAAGAATCTTCACACTTGTCTCATGTAAATATGTACATTACTTTTGAAAAATCTATTTTGAAGTTATTATAATTTTTGGAAACATACCATTCTTTAATACCTTGAGTTTTAAAATTCCAATTGCCATTAAAAATTTTAATGGTTAAAAAATATGTATTGGGCTGGAGTGATAGCATAGCGGATACGGCGTTTGCCTTGCACGCGCCCGACCTGGGTTCAATTCCCAGCATCCCATATGGTCCCCTGCGCACTGCCAGGAGTGATTTCCTGAGTGCAAAGTCAGGAGTAATCCCTGAGCATCGCCAGGTGTGACCCAAAAAGCAAAAAAAAAAAAAAAAAAAAGTATTGAGATGTAGCCATACTCTTCTAAAATTTATTTGAAGTAATAAAAGAATTTCCAGATAAGGGAGATACTCGAAAAGGCCAGAATTAGTGCTTTGTAGGCAAGAGACACGCATTCAGAACCTGAGTTGAGCCCAGAGTAGCCCCAAACCACTACTAAGGTAATTGTAAATCACATACCTTATTTATCATATTCAATGTGCATTCAAAAACAGCATCAAATATTTGAGGTATTTCAGCTGTAATATGTCCTCCTAACTTGTTGACAATTATAGCCATAGTACTAAGCACTTCTGGTTCTCTAGCAGCTGGGACATTTCTCTGATAATCAATGAGAACTGCATCCAACAGAGGAGGAACAAAATTTTCAGCTACCTGTTAAAAAAACACTTATAAGTTTTAATCTTGACACTGTTATTACAAATACTTGTGAGACTTAGATTGAATAACAGCTAACGGTTAAATCTGACATGCTGATTAAAGTTTTTGGTTAAAAAAAAAAAACTCAACCAGGGAAAAAAAAAAACCCACTAGAAATCACAATATGTTGGGAAAGACCAGATTTAGTAGTCTGAAGAGATGGGTACTGGAATCTTGTATGACTGGTACCCAATCACTAACAACGCTGTAACTGTCTCACAGTGATTCACTAAAAAAGGGAAAAGAATAAAATAACTAGTGGGTCTAGACGCAACAGTACAGTGAAGGGTGTTTGCCTAACACGAAGCTGTCCCCATTCGATCTCCCAGCATCCCATGTAGCCCCTTGAATACCACCAGGAGTAACCCTGAGCATCGCTGGGTGTGATCCAAAAAAGAAAAAAAAAGAAAAAAGACTAGTACAAGTGATGGAAATCAGAATAATGACATTGTATGAGTGACCAAAAGGTAAAATTTTCCTAATCAAGACTAAATGTATTTCTGGGCTAGTGTGACAGAATGGTGGGACAGGGTGCTTCCCTTGTACACAGCTGACCAAAGTTTGATCCCTGTCACACCATATGGTGCTGAGCACCACCAGGAATTATCTGAGTGCAAAGACAAGAGTGATTCTTAAGTATAGAGCCAGAAGTAAGCACTAAGGATCACTAAGTGTGACCCCCCCCCCAAAAAAAAAATCAACATAGAAAAGAGAAAAGGCATTTTTCTTGATCTAGGATGAAAGAGATAGTACAGCGGGTAAGGTGCTTACCTTGCGCATGACTGATTTGGAGGGTTGAACCCAGGTTTGATCCCCAGCATCTCACATGGTCCCCTGAGCATAACCAGGTATGACCCAACTCCCCCCAACCCCAAACAAACAAAAACTCTAGATAAAAGTAGACAGAATTTAATGATTTGCTTAAGGAAAGGTTAGTTGGTTAATTTATAAAAGGAATTAAAATTGTGCCAGAATGCTCGAGTAAGATTTTCATATTCTCACTAAGTAGACAAAATTATGCTAACCTCTATGTGACTAGGTTAATGGCCTGCTATAAAACATAGTTTTAGAGAAGTTAGTGTTATACACATGGAGAGATCCTTTCTATCTCTTCTATTTTCCATTAAACTTTTCTACTTTCTTAACAAAACGACAAAACAATATATATATTTTGTTTCTTGGGTCACACCTGGTGATACACAGGGGTTATTCTTGGCTCTGCACTCAGGAATTATCCTGGTGGTGCTAACTGAACCCAGGTCGGCTATGGGCAAGGCAAACGTCCTACTATTCTATCACTCCAGCCCCAAAGCAATGTATTTTTAGATCTGACTTAATGCCATGTGATGAAAAGAAAATGGGTATTAACTTTAACTTTATAGCCTAAACTTGCTCCCTTTAAATCACTGAGCCCTATTCAGAGGCAACTTTATTCACTAAGGACCCCAGAGAGCGTATCTGTTAGGATTGGCAGTTTTAGGTTGGGAGGCACAGAATTCAATCTTGTACTTGATGGGCAACATAGTAAACCATATTCATTTTTCGGGTACTTTGAATGATGGCTCTCATTTTTGGTTTTTGAGCCACACGTGGCAGGTGTTAGGGAGCCATATACAATTCAGGGATCAAACCCAGACTACTTAGGTGCAAGACTAGTCCCCAACCCCAGCCCGATTTTACTTATATCAGACTGAAATATGGATTGGATTATAGCATGGTGGGTAGGGTGCTTGTCTTGCATGAGGCTGACCGAAGTTTGATCCACAACACCATAACGTGGTCCCCCAGGCACTGCCAGGAGTGGTTCCTATTTAACTCCCAGCAGTACTCCAAATCCATTGAGCAAAGATTATGTCCTGAGCACTGTAGAGAGTGGCCCAAATACAATCAGACACTAATATTAAAGTTTATTCTCCCAACAGAGTTTCCTTTCCAGAACTTCTCACTAACAAGACAAATTTAAGAAACCTCTCCAACTTGTTCTCAAAATAAAGAACATAAAATTTCATGTAAACTTGACCAAGTTAACTTAACTAGAACAATGTTTCTCAAAGTCTGCAGTTTGTGACCAATAGTTCTCCACTAGCAAGTAACAACAACTTTGGATCCAAATGGGGAAAGCTTTTTCCCATGGAAGGTGGGCAAGGGAGCATAGCAACTTGGAAAAGCTCTAACCTATGATGATGTGAATACCAATAATATAAAACTTTGAAAATAGCACCCTATATATCTCATGGTGACTCAATGAGAAAGAAAAAAATCATTAACAGCTTTGTAACTTTCTCATGGTGACTCAATTAAAAAAATAAAAATTAAGGAAAGAAAAGAATCCCAACAAAAGACATCTACCCTACATTCAATTAGCTAAATGCTTGTGCAAGTATAGTATACTATGGACTATTGCATCAAAATGAAAAACAGGAGGTACAACATTTCTCACCATCTGTGGATCATTGGACCGGCTCACCCAACCAGATATTAACTTTAATGTTTCCCTTTTTACTGTTCGCATACTTCTAATCAGTGGTTGCTTTGTAACCATCTCACCTAAAAAATTTAAGGAAGTAGAACACAAATTGACAATTAACATTTGACACTTGATGGTTCCAGTGAATGAATCACTCTGTAAGTATTCCACATCACTTACCATTAGCTTGGATAGCTGCAGAAATATTTTCACTGAGGCACTTGTACACATTAAGCATATCTAAATAAATTCTTCCAAGTTGAATTACAAAAGGATGTCCAACAGCTTTGCAGGCTCTCACATTTGTTTTTAATATGCTACCAAGCTGCTTTACTGTTTCAGGATCTTTAAGGATATCCACATTCTGTGAAGACAAAAATCAGTGTACACATAATGACTATCCTGGTTAACTACTAGACCAAAATGTTCTTTTTTTGGGGTGGTGCTCGGGGGACCCTATGGGATGCTGGGAATCGAACCCGGGTCGGCTGCATGCAAGGCAAACGCTCTACCCGCTGTGCTATCTCTCCAGCTCCTAGAGCAAAATTTTCTAGACGTAGAATCATTAACACATCTATAATGCAAAATTGTTAAAAAAAAAGATAAGTAATTTCCATCCAGAGTGTGTATACGGGTCAGTTACCAGACCATATATCATCTTTTTTGTTTTCTTTTTGTTGCTCAGGGTAGCACTGTAGCACTGTCCTCCAGTTGCTCATCGATTTTCTCAAGGGGGCCCAGTAACATCTCCATTGTGAGACTTGTTGTTACTGTGTTTGGCGTATCGAATATGTCATGGGTAGCTTGCCAGGCTTTGCTGTGCGGGTGAGATACTGTCGGTAGCTTGCCAGGCTCTCTGAGAGGGGCGGAGGAATCGAACCTGCCCATGGTACCATTTGGAATTCTAGGGATTGAACCCAGGTCAGCAGTGTGTACCCACTGTACTACCACTCTGGCCCAACAATACTATATTTAAAAACAAAAGCAAAACATATTGTTTGCATTTACTGATCATATTGATTTTTACAATTTTAAATACTTAATCAATGAAACTTACTTTGGTTGCCTGCTGAATTATACTATCCCAAACTTGATTGGGCAGTAGCATGTACTTTTCTATCAAATGTTCTTGTACTGTTTGGTCTGTCTGTGCACCAATCATGTATCCCACAGCTTCATAAAATGTATGGACCTATTTCAAAAAAGGACAAAAAGCAATTCACATATACGCTGCAATTAATTGTGTTGAAATGTTAGAACTTTTAAATTTTTGCCTATGCACATAGACACTTGAAGAAATGCTAAAAGCTCCACGTACCTGCTGAGGCTGAAGATCACAAATTATAGTGTTAATATTGTTTAAAATCTCATCAATAAATGGCATCACTTCTCCAACCTGAACCTGAACAAAATGACGACGACATTTTTGAGCTATTTTAATGAAAGTATCACAAGCCATGTCCTGAACTCCATCATGGGTCTCTGAAAAACAAAACATTTATCAAAAATTTGGCAGTCAATCTGGCATTTTTGTTCAGTAACTCACACATGGATACACTTTTTTTTCGTCCTTTTTCTTTTTGGGTCACACCCAGCGATGCACAGGGGTTACTCCTGGCTCTGCATTCAGGAGTAACTCCTGGCGGTGCTCAGGGGACCATATGGGATGCTGGGAATTGAACCCGGGTCAGCCACATGCAAGGCAAATGCCCCACCCGCTATGCTATCTCTCCAGCCCCACACACATACACTTTGCGCACAGTTATCTTTGCTCAGGGATAGAACCCACGCTGGCTGCATGTACAGCAATCAATTGCCTTACCTATTCTACTATCTCTCTGGCCTCTGAAATATATTTAAAAAGAGAATTTACTTACCATGCATGAACTCAAAAAGTTTGTTAACTACAGTCTTCAAAAATTTCCAGTGAGCTCTTAAAAATCTTGGATATTGACCTACAATGTACATGATATTTGATGCAATAATAGCTTTATTATCTTTGCCTCTTTTCTGTTCACATAATCCTAATAGATCCTGTAAAATACAACAAATTTCAGCCATTTATCAGAATATACCTGTCCAAAGGTTCCCAGTCCATATATCATTTGCTTACCTTTATAACAGTAACCAGAAATCGTTTCTCATCCTCTTCATGCATTGCTCCACTAATAGAGCCTATTGCCCAACACAATGTATTCAAATTTTTCCATGACCACTCTGTACCATTCACTTGATTGTGAAGTTTCTCTGTCATTATTCTTTCTGTATCTACATAATCCAGATGAGTAAGATAAACTACAAAGAAAAAAAAGAAAGTACTAAATGCTTCAAACACAGTATTTATTTTTCAAACAGTATTTAAAAAGCACATTAATAGAAACGGCAATTTACAAATTTCAGAAACTTAGCATATCACATTTCATTATAAGTACTCTTACTCCAGAATGAAATTTGAAAGATGAAGATGAACTTACCTAATGTTTCTCTCATATTCTTATACAAATTTATGGAATCTGTATCCTTCATGAATTCCCGCACAACTTCTCCCTGATCATTTTCAACAACCAATACTTCCTCTGGTTTAGCCATACGACTAACCATCAATAAGCGAACCTACTCAACCACAAACCAATGAAGAAAAAAAATGTTAGATTTTTAGAACCAGTCACATCAAACATAAGCAAACGAGCCATGCCCCTATTAGATATGCACAAACACCATACTAAACTACATACTAAAACTTATTACAAGATTAGAATTAGGAATGTTTTGATTTTATTTTTAGTTTTGGGTCACACTCAGCAATGTTCAGAGGTTATTCCTGGCTCTGAACTTAGGAATTAATTCTTGGCAGTGCTCAGGTGACCATATGAATTGCCAGGGTACAAGACTGCATGCAAGGCCGTAGATTCTATCCACTGTACTATCGCTCTGGCATCCACATTCATAAAATATTTTAAAATTTAAAGCTCTGCACTAAGGGATCACTCATAGTACTCAGGAGACCATATATTATGCCAAGGATAGGACCCAGATTGGCTGCAAGCAAAACGAGCATGCTATACAAGGTATTATCTCACTCTATGTTCTCTCTAGAGAAACACAGTATGGTACTAGTAACTAGTAACACAACAAAGTCAAGTCTTAGAATTGACACAGCCAAAGAAGAGTTGTTTCAGTATTTGTAAATATTAGTTCTCTGCCACACTTCATGGTATTCGAGGAACCATGCAGTGTCACGGATCAATCCTGGAGGTTCTGCACATGCAAATGTGCTCCAGTTCTGAGCCATTTCCCCATTAAAGAGGATGTTGGGATTTTCTCTTTCTAGTTCTCTGTGTACTAAAGCTAGAGTGATAGCACAGTGGGTAGGGCGTTTGCTCTGCAAGAGGCTGACCTAGGTTAGATTCCTTTGTCCCTCTCAGAGAGCTCAGCAAGCTACGGAGAGTATCCCACCAACACGGCAGAGCCTGGCAAGTTTCCTGTGGTGTATTCGATATGCCAAAAACAGTACCAACAAGTCTCACAATGGAGACGTTACTCAAGCAACTCGATGGACAATGGGAGGACAGTGCTACAGTTCTTTGTGTGTATTAGGAAAACACAAAAAGCAGTCTTTGCATTCCATTTTCAGAATCACAGTAAACATCAGAAAGAACACTTAAGAACCCACTTGATTGTTACCTTGGATAACACAGGCAAATACAGCTGTCTTCTGGGAGGAACATCATAATGTTGACTTCCAGATAGCAATGGAGAAGCAGATGTTGAGAATGGGCTTTCTCTGTAGAGTTCAGCTGCCAAGTGATTCCAGTACTCTAGACAAATCTTAAAAATTTCTGTTTCCTCCACTTCTGATACTAACAACATATAATGAAGGGCCTACACAGAAGATCAAAAGTATTAAATAATTCTCGACACCATTATCCAATCACAAACTTGTTACATTATTAAGCCATAAACATGTTTTATTCTGTACAAGTTTGAGGTTTACCACTCAATCAAAAGAATTTTTTTGCTACACTCAAGTTTTTCTCAGGGTTTACTCCTGGCTCTAGCTCAGGGATCACTCTGGTGAGTTTGGAGGACCATATGCTATGCCTGGGATTGAAATGAGACAACTACATGCAAGAATTTTACAGAGGGGAGCCAAAGCGATAGCACAGTGCCCGACTCTGGTTCAATCCCTGGCATCCCATATGGTCCTCCAAGCATCACCAAGAGTAATTTCTGAGTGCAGAGTCAGGAGTGACCCCTGAGCATGACTGGGTGTGACTCAAAAAAAAAAAAAAACCCCAACAACAACAACAAAAAAAACCAAAACAAACAAACAAACAAAAAAACCAAAACTTTTTATACAGAGCTGTTCTATGCCTTCTTTTGTGCTCTAAGAGCATAAATACTTTCAAATACTTCTTAAATAGCTGCTGGCCAATACCAACTTAATTTTAAGTATTTGAAGGGCTCCATTAAGCACCTTTTGATATCAATAGGGGAAAGGTTTAAAGTTCAATATCCACCTATTGGTCAAAGTAGAAAACTTGTCCATCTGTGCTTGCCACAAAAATGTAAAAGTATAGGAAGACACTATAATGAACAAACCCTGAAAATATGCTAAGGGTATGAAGCCAATAGACCATCTATAATGACTCCATTAATATGAAATGTTCAGAACAGAAAAACCCAAATAAAAAGACCTGATCAGTAGTTGCTAGAAGCTGGGGTAGGATACAATTAGGGTTGATAGTTTTAAACTATTTTGGAGCCAGACCCAGAGATGCTTAGGGCTTACTACTGGTGCACGGGGCCAAGAAGGCAAGCTTCTTTACTATCACCAGCATCCCCACACTTTGAAAAAATAAGTTACTTTGCTTAGAGAATTTCAAACAACACTCCATAAAACTTACCTCCATGAGTGTTTCCCTGAGATTTAATCTTTTTTCTATAAGCTGACCGTGTTCTTTAAGAAAAGTGCAGAGAAACAGACTGAGATTTTGAATAAAGTTCTGCTCATCATCTTTTCCATTTGAGTATGCAAGTCGAATATTGGTATTTAAAGGTAGCATCTGCAAATTTAAGTATAAATCAATTCGCATATTAAAATAAAAACAAATCATACTAAACAAGAGGCATTAAAATCCTAAAACCCAAAGAACGATTCATTAATAGCAAAGCAGTTAACATTATTCCTTATTATTCAAACACTCTGTTAAACTATTTTCACATGTTCACATCTAGCTTTGGACTGTTTTTCAAAATGGTGCATATGTGAAAACTGCCTAAAATTTATTATTTGAAATTTCTCCCAGATATTAACCCTTTCTTAGCATAACTGAAAAAGAACTTCCTAAACAAACAATGCCATCAAGTGTATGAATCCTTCCATCACAACAAATGTGACAAGGAGGAAAAGGGGTATTTTGATAAGGGGACAAGAATCCTAATTAACAACAATAACAAACTAGAGTACTACTAACTTTATGTATTAAGTAGTACACAACCACATTGAAAGTTGTACTGAAAGGATTCAATTCCAACCCAACATTATTTCTAAGGCATTAATATCATTTAATAATGATATGAAATGTCACATTACCTGTTTTAGCTGCAACATTGTCAGAGTAAATAATGTTACAAATTGTTCCTCATATTGGCTTACACTCACACCAGCAATCTCAGTGAGGCACTTCAGAGAGACATTTCGAAACATAGGAACATTCAGAAACTATTTTTTGAAAAGAAAGCACAGAATTAAATTGTGTTACACTGTATATTATTTGCAGATGGCAACTTGGTAAGCATAAAAAACCTTCAAAAAGCATTATTAATCTGATAATTACACATATACTTATACAGACTAAATCGTGTGCACATAAATGCCTTATGTGTGAAACTTCTTTGCTACACTGCTGACAACAATTTAATTATCTGTACGAGAATGGGGATGGGGCAATAGACTGCGGAAAGACATGGGTCTTTCTGTGTGGGTCAGGGGATTGGATTGACACCTGGGTTACTCCTGGTGCTCTGCACTCAGGGTTCAGTTCTGGCAGGCCTCAGGGACCATATAGGTTGACGAGATTCAAATCCGAGTAAGCCACATTCAAGGCAGCAACCCCCTGCTGTACTGTGGCCCCCCAAACATGTGTATTTTAACAGTAATTGTGGTGTGGTAACACCCCTTGAAGTATGATACTCCCACAGCATATAATCATAACCAATATTAAAATACACAGTCAGATTATCTCACAAAAGGACTATTTAATATTATGAAATGAAAATGCAGCCACTGGGGCTGGAGCGGGTAGGGCGTTTTCCTTGCATGCAGTCCACCCAGATTCAATTCCCAGCATCACATATGGTCCCCTGAGCACCACCAGGAGTAAATCCAGAGTGCAAAACTAAGAGTAACACCTGTGCATCGCCGGGTGTAACGCAAAAAGAAAGAAAAAGGGAAAAAAAAAAAAAAGAGCAGCCGCTATACCTTATAAATAAGCGTACTGATTAACTTGGTCTCAAATATATAACCCAACGGAATCCAGTTAAGAAATCTCAGCAATGTTTCCAAAGTTGCATGTACAAGTGGAGCATTTTGGGAATTTTCCTGAAAAACAAAATAAAAATAAAAACAAAAAATACCTATAGTCAATTCTTCACCTAAAACCAATTAATATCTTAAAAAGGTAATAAAAGCACTTACCATCACAAACTGACACAGCTGAAAAATTTGTGAGAACTCATTGCACATACTAAAATAAAAAACAGTGATCAATTTAGAAGAGAATAATACACCTATTTTCACACTATTAATTCCAACAACCTGATCATAAAATTTTCTACTTAAGAACAATCTAATTTTATCAAAACTACCAAACTACTAACATGGTATGTGTCACTACCCTTTTCAAAAATAAATGAAGTGGTGGTAGACATTCCAAACTTTAAATGTGCTCCTAAACCAAAGCAAAGGTAAAGGTCCTCCCGTTGTTCATTGATTTGCTCGAGCAGGCCCAGTAATGTCTCCATTAGAGACTTTGTTGTTACTGTGTTTGGCATATCGAATACGTTACGGGGCGCTTGCCAGGCTCTGCCGTGCGGGCGAGATACTCTCGGTAGCTTGCCGGGCTCTCCGACAGGGGCAGAGGAATCGAACTCGGGTCGGTCATGTTGGCCGCATGCAAGGCAAATGCCCTGCCGCTGTGCTATCGCTATCGCTCCAAACCAAAGTAGAATACAAATTACAAATGCTAAAGCTAGTTTGAGAACACAGAAATACTGCTGTTGGGACCTGGTCTGTGGCTGAGTGGTAGAGCACAAGAATATCATGTGTACGGCTTGATTCCAAGCACTAGGAAAAGTAGGAGAAAAAACAAAAAACAAAAACACTGCTGTGCTCTAAGGACCTGCATACGATGTTATCACTAAGCTTAAGAAATATGTTTGGCGTCTTTTTATGGTTAACTGTAAGGCACTCACAAGATGTGAGCAGTAAACATGTTATATTCACCATATGAAACATACTCCAAAGAGGTTGTGGGAACTCTCGAAATACAATACACTTATGCATATGATACATGAGATTAATTTGTTGTGCTGACATAAAACACTTGCCCGTAATACCAGTCACACTTCAAATATCCAAACTGAAAATACTGGGTTTATGTTAAATCTAAATTTGCAATTAAAAACCTACAAGTAAGTAAACACAGTTATGAACCAACAGTTCTTTAAAAATTCACATCCTAGCTCAAAATTCCTTATATCATTTGAGAAATTACAAATTCTATAATGAAACAATTACTTGCCTGTCTTTTAAATGCTTTGCTTTCACTTGAGTTATCTGTCCACTAGAGAAATCAAATACTTCTTCACTTAAGAGTTTAAGAATCACCATATTATTCTGACAGAGACTTTCACTGGTCCTACTTGCCCCAACAATATCACTGATAAAAGTTGGCCAGTGTTTGGGCCATTCTTGTTTCAGTATCTAAAATAAGATATAAAATGTTGATTTTATTTCACTTATCAAGGATAGACAAAACACAGTTTAACGAAATTGTGCAATACTGAAAACAGGATCGAATATCAAACACTTCATCTACATAGAACATTCGGTTATGTAGGTAACAGCAAGACTAAGCCCCCACTTCCACAAATGCCACATGAATCCTCTCAATGGCTCTAATGGGAACACATGGCAGTATTTGCCAGTTTGACACAAAAATTTAACTATTAAACAACAAAGGGTACAAAGTTAGAAATACATTTTCATTGACTGAAAATATGGGGCTTAAAATAGCAGGGTTCTAACAAAATTTTAGGGGGTTAAGAGGATCACATTTGAGGATGAAATCCTCCACCCCTTTTAGAGAGATTGTGGGTCACACAAGGTGGTACTCAGGGTTACTCCTGGTTCTGCACTCAGGAATTCTCTTGACAGTCCTCATGGGACCATATGGAATATTGGGGATCAAACCTAAGTTGACCACGTGCAAGACAAGTACTCTATCCTGCCATACTATCGCTCCAGACCCCTTTGACTGAAAGGTTACAGCTTTTAAGGGTGGGAGAGTGGGGGTGAGCCACATCTGTCAATGCATAGCACATTTGCATGCACTGCTGGTAATCCAACAGTGTTGGTTACATTTTAAGGCAACCATAACCTCAATTCTCTGCCCCTACTTCTAAAGCCTGAATTGCGTATTTTGTATGTTACAGGTTTCCCATCATAGCAAGTGTACATTGACTTATCTACATATTCCCCTTCCATCACACATAGGGATCCTCACTTCATATTCACTTCAAACTCTTTGAATGTAGTTTAAAAGACATACTGGATCAGACAGATTATAGATGACAGGGCATATGCTTTGCATGTGCTGACGCAGGTTCAACCCCAGCACTCCATATAGTCTCCTGTGCACCCTAAATGCAGAGTCTGGAATAACTTCTAAGCATACGAGTGTGCCTCCCACCCCCCCCCACCAAAAAAGTGGACATATTAAATATAAAATCTCAAATGTCAAAACTACACAGACTGCTTGAATTTTTTTTTTCCTTTTTGGGTCACACTCAGCAATACTCAATTGTTACTCTTAGCTCTGTATTCAGAAGTGCTTGGGAGGACTATATGGGATGTCAGGGATTGAACACAGGTCAGATGTATGGAAGGAAAACACCCTACCCACTATACTATTGCCCGCCCCTGTAAAATATTTAAATACAGGCATCAATTAAAGGAATACTGAATTCAAAAGCAGTAATTTGTGAATTAAGACTCAAAACAGATGATATGGGAGATATAAAATGTGAAGACAGCAGACTAATGATGAATCTATACCATACTGGGTAATGCAAATAATAAATTTTACAAGTTTGTCATTTCCTACCACAATCAGTAATTCCAAATGCTAGATAGGAAATTAAATCTTGTTGAAAATTTTAATTCTTATGAGAAAAGTAGTAAACTGAATAGCAAAGACTTACCTGGACAAGAATCATATTTAATTTCCCGATATACACTTTCTCCTTCTAAAGAAAGAAAAAAGTTTAGATTAAAGAAGAACCTAATGTGGGCATAATAAAAGGAATGAAGGTATCACATCATACTAAGCTTGCTTCACAATGATTTCCAGCACCTTCCACCCCCACAAAACAGGTGCAAGAAAAAGCCAAGACAATCCCCTGACTGAAAAAAAAAAAAAAAAAAGGAGCAGCCTTAACGTAATTTATTATATCTACATGCATATTTATACATTTGGGACAGAGGTTAGTTTAATCTGAACATTCAATATTTAAATGTTTCACTATGTCATATTATCTCTCAATAAATCTCTTACCTCTACACAAGTTGGGTCAGATGACGTCTTAATAATGAGGCCGACAACATATTTTTTTATTCCTATTTAAAAAAAATAAGATTGATCACTTTAGTCCTCAGGAACAAAAAAAATGGAAAAGGGAAATGCAGAATAAAGTCAGATAATGTAGTAAATAATGGCTTTCTCTTTCAATATTAGAACACAAAGAAAAAGGTGATTTTTCTTTCAATTTTATAAAAAGTGTCGATGGAGGTCCAAGAGTCTATGCTTCAACTGCATTTAGACCAAGAATAATTACCACGAAGGTCTTGTTATATTAAAACCATATCAACTTATTTTACTGGCTAAACCACCCGAACATATAATTACATGATAAGCATTACAAATTTATTTTAAAAAAGACAAAGGAAAAGACATTTTGATTTATAAATTATAAACCCAATTTATAGTTTAATCATTAATTAATACTGATTTTTTGTGGGGACTGGAGAGATAGTAGTGGATATGGCGCTTGCCTTGCATACACATCCAACCCGGGCTCAAACTCTGGCATCCCATATGGTACCCTGCCCACCAGAAGTTGTCCCTGAAAGCAGAGCCATTTAGTAAAACCCTGACCACTCTGGGTGTGACCCCAAAACAAAACAGAAGAAAAAGTGCCTCTTATCTATTACTACTGCATGGTTGTAAATTAAGAATGACTTGTCTGAAGAAAACTATTATGGGAAGTCCATATAATCTATAAACATTAAAAGAACAAACCATATCTTAACCAGTACTAAGGAAAGTTTATCAATTCTGTAAATTGTCGAAATGAAAAACCACGTATCTTGAAAATACTGCTTCATTAAAAAAAAAAAGTAACAATTACCTTATTAAATCCCACCAGTTTAAAACTGGCAAAAGTGAAAAAAAAAAAATGTGTGGGACCTAGACAGATAGTACAGAGGCTATAGCACTTGCCTTGCATGAAGTCAGACTGAGTTCAATTCAAGCAAGACACATGATCCCTTGAGCTCTGCATGAATAAAGTTTGAGCACGGCTGGGCATAACCTAAAATCCCACCCAAATATAAAGAGAGGAAGAGCTGCCTGCCAAGTAAATCTGAGATTAGACTGACTATATCAAAACAGTCAAGGGACAGAAGCAATAGTACACAGAGGGTAGGGCCTTTGCCTTGCACATGACTGATCTGGGTTTGATCCCTGGCATCCTATATGGTCCCCTGAGCACTGTCAGGAGAAATTCCTGAGCACAGAACCAGTATTTAACATTTAACTTTTCTTTTCTTTCTTTCTTTCTTTCTTTCTTTTTTTTTTTTTTTTTTGCTTTTTGGGTCACACCCAGCAATGCACAAGGGTTACTCCTGGCTTTGCACTCAGGAATCACTTCTGGCGGTGCTCAGGGGACCATATGGGAAGCTGGGACTCGAACCCAGGTCGGTCGCATGCAAGGCAAATGCCCTACCCGCTGTGCTAACGCTCCAGCCCCTAACTCTTACTCCTGGCGGTGCTCAGGGGACTGTATGACATAGGTGCTGGAAATCAAGCCTGGGTCAGCTGCATGCAAGGCAAACACCCTACCTGCTGTGCTATCACTCCAGTTCCCAGAATTTAACTCTTGAGCATCGTTGGGTGTGATCCAAAAAGAAATAAAGGGGGGGGACCCACAAACACCCCTCTTCTCCCCGCAACACCAAACACCACCATCCAGTTGAACAGAAATGTAAAAAGAAACTACATCACACCAAACTCTGGTGGGGATGTGAAGCATGGTCACTACCAGTGAAAATATAAAAAATAAAGCCATTTTAAGTTAAAATTTATCGTTGGTTCACACTACTACATAAACTTACAAACCTTGGGAGTATAGCACCACACCTTGGTATCGTGCATGTTTCACATTAACCCCCCCGCCCCCCCCCACACACAAACTTACAAACCTTGGGAGTATAGCTCCACACCTTGGTATCGTGCATGTTTCACATTAACCCCCCCCCCCCCACACACACACACAGTTCTACCTGCTAATCACACTCATCAATTGTACTCCCTATACGTGCAGAAGCTTTTTGGGGAAGGTGTTTGTTTTAGGGCAATACCAAGTGGTACTTGGAGGAAAATAGGTAGGTCAGTGCCAGGGATAGCCCCTGAGATTGGTGAATGCAAAGCACCTTAACTCGTCTTCTACCTCTCCAGTCTTTCACGGCCACACTTGGCAGTCAGTGCTACGGGACTGAACCCAGGTCAAGCCACATTCGAAACAACTGCCCCGCTGTACTAACTCTCAGAATCCATTGAAGCCACTTATTAGAGTCTAAGAGGTATTCCGTGTTTATCTTGCAATGGTTATTTCTATTTCCCATGGGGAGGGTGCGGGGCGCGAAGAATCTACTCAGTCTTTCACAGATTACAACTATTTTAGGCAAGCAGTGAAATACAAATCTATGAACTGTGTCTTTCTACTCCCACCTGATGAAGTGAGAGATCAACTGTAAAGGTGAAAGAAGTGATCATCACAAAGATGAATATATTGGTCACAGAGGTAGTATAGTGGATTGCATGCCAAATAGACTTCAAAGTTTTTCAAAAAGGCTGGTGTGACAAGTGCAATGTTTTGAAAGCTAGTATCCTTTCTTTGGTCACAATGAGTGGCGTTCAACCAGGGCGTGGGAGACGTTATGTGGTGTGGAGATCAAATCTGGGTCGGGCACATGCAAGGTAATCATCCTACCTACTGTGCTATCACTCTGACAAGAAAACCAATATCTTTTTCCTTTTGGGGGAAGGAGCGGTTAGTTTTCACCTCGCTGTAATTAGGGTAACATTTGAGAGCTAGAGATTGAACTCTGGTCAGCCACATGCAGAATAAGTGCCTTACTGTTGTACTATTTCTGAAGTCCAAGCCATTATCATTTAAGTGAGAGATGTAAAGCATGGAAATGAGTCTATTATATTGCCATTCAAAAATATGCTGTTGTGATAAATTCTCTGTTAAGGGACATACAAAAAGCTGTGTGAGCAGTTAGTAAATTACTATTTTCTCTCATTTTTTTTTCAATATAAATTCTAAGAGCCACAATCAGTGATGCTCAGGGTTATTCCTGGCAGTATACAGGGGACTATATAGAACGCTGAGGATGGAACACAGATTGGCAGCATACAGGGCAAATGCCCTCCCTGTTACAGTATTGTTCCAGGCCCTATTTTCCCTTTAATTACTTGGCTTTTCATTGAGAACTGGCCGTGCTTAGGGGATTAAACAATATGGGCTGCAGGATTAGAACTCCAGTTGTTTGCAAAGAAGGCAGGTATCCAGTATATTATGACTCCAGTACTACTGCAGATATTACAAGATGAAATGACTCTACATATGTAATAAAATAGTTCTCTTGCGGGAAAAGACTAGAAGCACATATAATTTTCTTTCATACTCAGCACCTGGATGTTCAGGACTTTATTGTACCCCAATAATCTTCTGAACAGTGAAGATTTGTTATTTATACAAGTCACTCTGCTTGTATAGCAAGCTCAACATAGACGACAACCAACCACTTGCATGAAATACTATTTTACACATTGAAATTTCCCCTTTATAACTTAAAAAAGAAATTGTTTTCTAATCCCTGACATCATAAAACTCTTACTTTGGGGAGTAGAAGGAAAAAAAATACTCCGTAAGAATAAGGGTAATAAATGTTATAGTGCAAAGATAACCCAACAGAAACTCTTTTCTTAAAGCAAGTGAAAAACAAGAGCAAATACAGTAAATTTTGTATTATATCAATCACATGTTTTAATCAGGTTGTAGCTCCCTTACGTCTTAAAACATGTTTTTAGTAAGATTTTAAAAATGCCCTCACATGGATATTAGTCACATAAATTTTGTGTGTATACATACATGCATACATATACACACACACGCATACATGTGCACACAAAGACTATTAAAACTAGCCAGTGGGTAAGGCATTTATTTACCTTGCATGTGACTCACCACATGGTCCCTGAGTATAGTCAGGAATTATTATTCAGTACAACGGCAGAAATCCCTGACCATCAATGAGTTTGGCTTAAAACCAAAACAAAAATTTTGACTTAAAAAAAAAAAAAATCCAGTCAGCTAGTACTAACTTCTGAATTTTTAACTACCTCCAAGATATAATCTACCTACCAACTAAAGACACTGCCAAAAGTACCTAATAAAAGTACCTACATGAAAGAAAATTAAATGTTCAAAAATATCAGCTATACCTGGCTGTTATTATGGCTTACTTCTGGCTCTGCACTCAGGATTCGGTACTTGAAACTTGGGGGAGCATAACAGTGTGCTGGAAACTGAGAATAGGCCTGCATGTCTGCCTTGCCCACTATACTATCGCAATGGCCTTTAACCAATGTATTTTGATACTTGATTGTGGAAGCCTCCCAGGATCAACATGTTACAGAATTATAAAATATGTAGCACTAAACTTGATTTTCTAATGTTTTAAAAGTAAGAAAAAAAATTTTTTTTGGTCTCACATACTGATTACTGTGAATAATTTACTCCTGGAAGGGCTCAGGGGGCCATATGGTATGGAGATTAAACCTGGGGTGCCTGCAGGATAAATGCCCTACCCACTATACTATCACTCCAGCCCCAATATTGATTAATAACATTATGCACCTGCTGAGTGCATGTCCAAATCTAGAATTATATAAATTACCCAGGAGCAAGCTAAACCAAAACCACCACTCTAAGAGTACCTTAAGGCTTATGCCCATTTTTCCTCTGGAACAGCATGCTTCTCCAAAAATCTTCAGGACCACCAGTACGATATCAGGAATAGCCATGCACAGTCAGAGAAAGAACTCAGGGCCTGGAGCATGCATGCCAAGATTCTACCCCTTTGACAGATGATCTTTCCAGTCCTAAAACTCATTTTATCATTAATGTTGGAAAAGTGCAGTATAGAAGGTGCTTTTGATATTATTTTGTTGTTGCTGTTGTTTTCTTTTTGGGTCACACCCGGCGATGCACAGGGGTTACTCCTGGCTCTGCACTCAGGAATTACTCCTGGCAGTGGAATGTTGGGAATTGAACGTGGGTTGGCCGCATGCTAGGCAAACACCCTACGCACTGTGCTGTCACTATCACCAGAGAATTTTTAACATTTTGTCAAAATAATTATCATCTTTTGACTCCCTTTACTCCCTTACCTGTGGTACCATTTCTCTGCCCCCCCCCCCTCAATTCTTTAATTAAAAAAAAGTCACATTTTTAGAAAATAAATAGCAGTGATTCCTGAACCATACGTTCCTTACACATAAAATGCATGGGAGCTACTATGACTTTTATTATAAAGATAACATCATTCCCAGAAGCACAAAAGGTCAACTCCTCAAAAAAAACTTCAGCTCCCAAATTTTCATCAATGACTATAGTGTCAATAAAATTCCTGAATTTTAAAGATGTAAAAGACCATAGAGCGTAAACTTCATGATAATGAGAGACTACAGGTTTTGGGGGGGAAAAAATCTTAAAATACGTAATACTGGAGTGAAATGGTATTGCAGTTGAGAATTAAGTTAACTTTTGTTGGCTATGGAAATCTATGGCCAAATTTAATTTGATGCTCAAATGTTTAAACGGTAGTAAATAAACAAGCACCACACTAGTCTCTAAAGTACAAAGCATCTATTTGGAAAACATAATCAAACTATTATTATTATTATTTTCACTTTTTGGGTCACACCCGGCAATGCACAGGGGTTACTCCTGGCTCTGCACTTAGGAATTACTCCTGGCAGTGCTCAGGGGACCATACGGGATGCTGGGAATTGAACCCAGGTCAGCCGTATGCAAAGCAAACGCCCTACCTGCTGTGCTATCACTCCAGCCCCTCAAACTGTTCTTGTTCTAAGACTATAGATCATAGTCTAAAATGGTTTATTATTCTTTGCTTTTTTGGGTCACACCCAGCAATGCTCAGGCGTTACTCCTGGCTCTGCATTCAGGGAACCATATGGGATTCCAGGGATTGAACCCAGGTTGGCTGTGTGCAAGGCAAATGCCCTACCTACTGTACTATTGCTCTGGCCCCCTATCTGAAATGGTTTAAATGAGCCAGAGAAATAGTACACCAAATAAGGTGGGCCCCCTTGTGCACAGGCGACCCAGGTTAAATCCCTGGCACTACATCGATTCCCTGAGAGCATCTAAGAGAGAAAATAGTGAACAAAGCTGGGTGTCTCCCAACCATCAAAATAAATTCTCAAGGAGGGGGGTGGCACGCCCAGTAGTGCTCAGAGACCTGGCACCATATAGGGTTCCAGGACAGCTTCATGGAAGGCAGTGCCTTATCCACTGTACTATTGCTCTGACTGAGAAAATAAATGGCCTTAAGCTTAGATTTAGAGAAACAGCAACCTCTTTTTAATGGTAATATTTCTCACTGTACTACCGTTCTTAATCTCTCTTATGCCATGTTTAAAAGTTAATGCTATTAAAAACTCTTAATGACATCCGTATGTGCTAATAAAGAGGTAAAGATTTAAGTCGTATCAGCTGGGTAAAATAAAATAACCCTCCTACCAAAAAGATGACCCAAGAAAGCAGATGAAAGTCTACCTAAAGTGCTGGGAGAGAAAACAACGGGGATAGAGAAGGGACCACTAGGACAATGACAGGTAGAAATGATCACTGAGTAAGATCTGTGTGCTGAAAGCAGGCAAAGGAACAAACACAAAGACCTCTCAGTACCTATATTGCAAACCATAATGCTCCAAAGGAGAATGAAGTGTCTGCCATAGAGACAAGCTGGAGATGGTGAGAGGGAAACTGTAGATATTGGTAGTGGTAAATGTACACTGGTTGAGGGATGGATATCAGAACATTATATGACTGAAGCCCAATAATGAACAACTTAATAATGGTGTATCTCACAGTTGATTCAATACATTTAAAAATAAATAAAAAAACACAAATGTTCATGGTAAAACAAAACCAAAAAAACCACACCTCAAAAAATAGCCAAAGACTTCTTGGTGGCAGTGGAGTGGGAGATCTACAGTGAGTGCAAGAATTTGAGCTGGGGTTGTTTGTAAGAAAGGTTTAATTACTCTCTCTGGCTCAAAATGGGGACATTTGAATGAAAGAAAATACCACCAAAATTATACCCATTGTAAGACAGACTTCAAGTATCTTTTATAGCAACATAAAGTAAGCAATAAAGACAGCATCAAATACAGGATGTAATTCATCCAAAACTCCTGATATTGACACTGTACCTGTTTTCTTCAACTGCTAAGAGGGCTCAGATGAACTACTAGGTGATTAAAAATTTTTTTTCACCACTAGGGAATTTCTTCCTCTATAAGGTAACCTATTTTGTCCTCCAAATATAAGCCCAAATATAAATAGAACCTACCATGCCACATCATTTTCAGTGGAGCATTACTAAACTATTAAAGGTCAAAGCATCTATCTCTAGTCAACTGATAAATGTAAATCTTAGGTTTACAATTCTGCAAAATCATTTTCCTACCTTCACATTGGTTCCTTGGAAGAATCTTCCACCTTGTTTTTATCACATTTTCCAAAATTTGTAGTCCATAATACTGAAAATTGGAGAATAGAGGCATGTGAATATACTGCTATAAGACTAGCAACTTTCAGGATTCACAAATGGACAAACATTCACACATTTACAACTAAGTTTCAAAAAAAATTACACTACCAACTTTAATTACATATATAAATAAGGATCTAGTCACCCATATACTGAGTTTTCATGCATTTTCCTCATTCTGTTTTCTACTTTAAAAGTCCTGCTGTTTATACATGCTCACACCAGTAGGAAAAAACAAATAAAAAGCCCCTTAGCAGCCAAATGGCTTATCTGTAGAAAGGAAAATGGCAGCCAGATATGAATTCACAGCATAAATGACTGTTTGTAGGCTCATGTACTTTAAACACAACCAGGCTCCTAAGAATTTTAGCAGCTTGGATGCTCTCAAGCTTCCTACCATCCTACAGGACACGTAAGCTCTTAGCCAACTATTATCGTCACAGATACTTCTGTAAAAAGCATTTACAGACATCACTGGTGTGTTACTACTTAAGGAGCAGCAAGACAACCCGTGGATTTACTTCAAATTTTAACCCCACCCTTATAATTGCTATTGCTACTAATTTAAAGATAAACTTTTGTGCACAGTCAAAATACTATACAAATGCATGTTGCAATCTGTACCTTTCAGGTTTTCTTTCCTAAATGTAAAAATCAGTTAAAAAATGTAAATACAGATACCACCAGCAAGCCATTTTGTCCCTCCTGTTGATTACTCACTCTAAACAGTCAATTAAGAATTTAATGCTCCAGGAGCCACTATCCCAAATTATTACCATGACCAATTAGTGTGGATAGACAGGAGGAAAAAAAAGACAAAACTGTTGTAGTATGTTTCAACTGGCTGAATTAGGGAAGAACCACATAATACCTGAAAGGTAAATTCATTCATATGTAAAATGTAACTTCAGATTGCAAGTTTTGGCTGAGAATAAGAGTTCATCTTTAAAATGGTTAGTCATCACACAATAAAATAAGAGCATTATTAGTATTTCAACCAAAGGGATCATGTGAATGCTTATTTTATCCAAAGCACAATATAGACTGTCCCAAACTACATTGTGCTAAAATAGTAAATGTTTTTGCTGTTTTCATAGTTTTCTGGAAAAAATTGCAACTTTAAACTCAAACCCTGCCTTTGTACAATACCTAAAATGACTTCCAAAATAAAAACTAGCTCAAGGGGGAAAAAAAAAATCCTGAAATTACTGATTTCATGCCATTTAAAGGTTTCACAAACAGCAGTAGAGTGAAGTTTTCTATCTATTTACACTTCTTTATTTGTCTAAGACCCAGGAAAATAAAAAGAAGAGTCATGTTTCTGATTAAAATTCCAAATCAATTTAGAAAACACTCTAAAAACTGTACACATGAAATCAGGTTATCTACAGGTGATTTAAGTTAAGAGAATGTAATTCTAACTATATAGAATGTGTATCTTCTTCCTAAATCAACTAAGAACTTATTTAAAAGGGAGGAGTGTGGAAAAAATAAAATCTCTAAGAAATAAAACCTACCCAATATAGACCAGAACAGTCATCTTTATAACTCCACCATATTTAACCATAATTTTTTGTAGGATACACTTTTTAAAGGATAGCTCCTCTTAAGTGGTACACTGATTAATTTCCTTCAAGTTTGGCATGTTGTTACCTAATTTACCTATTATTTAATTTAATTTCTAGTCTTTCCCTTCCAATAGAAAAAATTTGAAGAAACAATCAATATTTTCATATTTATGCCAATGGGGCGGGTAGGAAGCCCAATAAATGGTTTTTAAAGATAAAAAAAACTACACATCAATATCTTATCCTTAAACCTACTCCCAGATTTTAAGACTATAAATATAAAGAGAATTCTTACTCTTTTGTTAATAAAAATACTTTGGTCTAAAAATTTGAAGTGAGTCAAATGGGGGGGGCAATGATAAAATGCCTTTAGAAATATTAATAATCCAAACATCATTAAATATACTAAATTTCTGCTTTACATCTCAGGACTTGAGAAATCTGAGTTATGGAAGATGAGGGACAGTAACAGCAAAGACTAAATGAGGAGAAAAAAAAAAGCATGAAATGATCCCTATGGCAGAAATTTCTACTGAGCCCTTAAATACTTATTTTATGCATTGTATTCCCCTTTCCCCTCCCACCACCCATGAAACAAAAACAATTGATGAACAGAATTCAGTTAAAGGGAATCAAAAGGGTAGACCTTGTGGAGGCCTGCCGTCAAAGCCTAGCTGTGTCAGTTGCACAGGAAGACACCCCTTTTCTTCCTATTACAAGCAATCAACATAATGGAACATTATGATTAATATCAGGTAGTGTTAACATCTTTAAAGAAAAAAAAAATGATTGCATAAAAGCCAAATGTCATAGTGCATAAATTTAGCACCAAATCACTTGTAATTTATGTAAATTGAAGAATTCTTTACCTGTTGCTTTCTTTCTGTTCCTCTAATCATCTCATTTTTCACAAGACAAAATTGAGTTTTTAAAAATACTGTTGATAAATCAACTTTAAACATTAGTAATGTCTGTCAGTATAAAAAGCAAAATTTACCAGGCAAGCAAACAGGCAAACACTGTTATGTTACTTTAATGTTAGCACTTTGAGGAAGTTCTGGACTTTATTTTTGCCCTAAAATTTACAAGATGTCAAAACTAATATTTAAAAACTGTTAATTAACACAGTCTGATTTCAGAAACAGATGTGAACATGGCTATCTTCTGTTTTAACACAATATATATCAACTACAAACTTTGTGTGTATTAAACAGAATGCCATGTATGGTATTTCATTACTTTAAGGCAGTTTAAAGAGAAGTGTGAATCATCAAGCCTAAAACAGTCAAAACACATTTTGATCAACCCTTCTGTTCAAACTTAAGGAAAAAGGACGCAAATTATAACATTTTTCAATTGCAAATAAAAACTGAGTGCTGTCCCATTAAAAGCATTGGTACCACAAAGAGGGTTTTACACCACCCATACAACTTCATGTTGGAGGTGCCTAGCCTGTATTGTACTGATTACTTGCCCAAAATGATTCATGTTATGTTTCATTGCTGTGTAACATTCAGAATTTATACTAGATCTGTACACATATTTTAAAGAGAAAAAAAAAAAACAAACAACAAAAAAGAGCCATCTTGCATATTAGTCCCAATAATAAATCTTCAACTCATAATCCTCAGGACTATATGCAAGAACTAAGACTAAATTTTGAAATAAGTTAACAATATTAAATGATTTGCGATAACAATGCTAATACTAAACGGGAGATACCTTCCTCAAAGTTATGACTGGAAGAAAAAGTAATTAATTTTAAAACCACCACTTGCTTACTTTCGTGTTCATATTCTGTGAAAATTCCAAAATTGTGTCAACTCTTGTCCACGCATCAGGATGCTCCTTTAAATGTGTCAGTACTTCTTGAGCCATTCTTTGCTAAAATATCACACAAAAAGATTTAAACTCACTTATACTTTTAAATCATTACAAGTGTCCACTTTTTAAACGCCTATTGAAAGTGGAAATGTTGATTCCAAAGCAGAACTTTTATTTCTTAGACCAATGTTTAACACTCACTCCCATAAAATTTCAAATCTACACAAAATGTACTCTGCTTCCAAGTCATCAAGAAATCCCTAACTTGGGGCTGGAGCGATAGCATAGCAGGTAGGGCGTTTGCCTTGCATGTGGCCAACCCAGGTTCCATTCCCAGCATTCCATATGGTCCCCTGAGAACCGCCAGGAGTAATTCCTGAGTGCAGAGCCAGAAGTAAACCCTGTGCATCACTGGGTTTGACCCAAAAAGAAAAAAAGAAAAAAAATCCCCAACATAAAAAGCACATCTGTGGAAAGACTAAGAAAAAACAGGGCTAGGGTCTGGAAAGATAGTACAGTGAGTAGAGCACTTGTCTTGCATGCAGCCCACCCAGGTTCATTCAATCCCCTGCACGCCAATCTCCTGCATCACTAGGAGTAATATCTGAGTGCAGAGTCAGGAATAACCTGAGAATCGCTTGGTTTGGCCCAAAAAAACAAAACCAAAAACAAAAAAGAAGAAAAACTAAGTCTAATATCACATCTCATACTATGTGTGGCTATAGAAAACTTTAAGACTCCTTGACCATAAAAATCTCAAACTAAAATGTAAACACACTCTTCCATTCTCTGAAAGTCCTCCAATTTTGCATAATTCTAGCTCTTGCATTTCAAGTTTTGTATCTTAAAACTGCAAACCCAGAAAACTATGTAGCCACCGTCTAGAATGAACATTAACATTTTGTTGTACTTTTGTTTTCTTTAAAATATTCAAGTTCTAAAATTTATTTAAGCCACCTTTCTCTCTTTTCTAATGCCATTATCTTCCTTTAGAGATAATTACGCTCAACAATTTGATTTCCCCATCTATATTTTCATATTTCATAGCGTATGCTCAACCACTGTTACATCCCTAGCAACAAGCCTACTAAAATTTATGGTATGCTATAGGAATTCCTCTGCAATTTGCTTATCATTTCATATAGTCCTACCCCCACTCTTCTTAAGTAGGGACAGATTTAAAGCCACCCTGACATCATCTATCTAGTTTCATTTTAACCATTAAATTTTCTATGACTTTAATTCCAATTTACCAAAGGTTTTAAATTCTATTGTCTACTATTGCTCAGGTCCTTGTATTAATGTACCTTTCCAAGAAGCAACAGCTTAAGTCTTTTTTCACCTCAAAGGGTTGTTTTATATATCAAGTGGATCTCCTTATTTTTACCTACTTCTGTCACAGGTTGTCAACAAAAGTTACAGGGTTTTAAAAACGTTAATTATCTCACCCCTTACACAATTTGGTTTTACCTAAGGATTTAGTTCTATGGGTACAGAAAGCACCAGAAGGTGTGTGACGCACTGGTATTTCACCATTAGCTGGAACATACCTCACAACCTTTTCTGTTTTCTTTTGGGGCCACACACAGTGATACTCAGAGGTGGTACTCCTGGCTCTGCACTTAAGAATTACTTTTGGTGGTGCATTTGGGGGGGGGGGGGGAGAGGTATAGAGGGACAGAGGGGGATGGAGTGGTTGAAGGGAGGGGGGAAAATGGGATCATATAAGATGCTGAGAATCAAATCTGGGTTGGCCACATGAAAAGCAAGCGCTCCACCTGCTGTACTATCTCTTCAGCCCTACAACCTTTTCACTTGCCTCCTACAAGAATAGTGACCTAAGATACATAGAAACAAAGCACACTTAAGTGTTTTTATTCTCTTTCTTAAAAATACCAAGCTAGAGCTGAGGATAAAAAAACAAACATGATGGCCTCTCATTATATGTAATCTATATTGCAAATAGTAATACACATAAGTAGAGAGAGAAAGAGGGCAATTATCTACCATAGAGGCAGGGAGAGGGATAGGATGGAGGCGTGGCATGGGGAGGGATACTGGGGACATTGGTGGAGGGACAGGTGTTCAGTCATTGTATGACTGAAACTCAAACATGACAGTCTATAACTGTAGCTCATGGTGAGTCAGTAAAATAAATAAATAAATAAATAAATAAAATGGGGGGGGGGGAGATAGCTCAAAGAACTGGTGTACATGCTTTGCTTGTTGGAACCCTAGGCTGAAAGAAGGCCGCTGTGTCCCTCTTCATTTAAGAATATTCAGGATCACAGAGTTAATAGTTGATGTGTTTGCCTTACAACCTGCTGACCCTAGCCCAAACATGTCACCATAAACGTTCCCCTAAGGAAGAAAAGATGGCATCTCCTTATGTTACTGAATGATAAAAGCTTTTGGTTGGTAAGTAATAAAGAGTTCAAGATACTTAGAACACAGTACTGAAGAAAACAACCAAATTTCCCATCTTATTTCCCCCAGGTTGACTACTGGGGAAAATATTTGTGATAAAAGGTTGTCATGTTACAAAGCTAAATTCCTACAATACTATATTCTAGGCAGAAGTTCTAATTGCTTATTAAAAGCTATCCTTCCACAAAGTAGATAACACTGTATAGATGAAAGCCTAAAGCAAACACTGGAAAACCGACTTGGAATAAAACTAAACTATGAATTAGAAATTGCGCTCCCATTTGACCCAGCAATACCACTCCTGGGAATATATCCCAGAGAGGCAAAAATGTATAGTCGAAGTGACATCTGCACTTGTTTGTTCATTGTAGCACTCTTTACAATAGCCAGAAACTGGAAGAAATCTGAATGCCCAAGAGCAGATGACTGGTTAAAGAAACTTTGGTACATCTACACAATGGAGTACTATGTAGCTCTTAGAAAAGATGAAGTCATGAAATTTACATACAAGTGGCACAACATGGAAAGTATCATGCTAAGCGAAATGAGTCAGAAAGAGAGGGATAGACATAGAAAGATTGCATTCATCTGGGGGATATAAAGTAACAAAATATGAGATTAATACCCAAGAATAGCTGAGATCAGCACCAGGAGGATTACACCATAGCTTAGTGGCCAGTCGGGCATTCTAGAGGAAAAGGCAGCTCAGATAGAGAAGGGAACACCAAATAAAGGGTGTATGGAGGATCCTCCCAGGAGGGGAGATGCATGTCGAAAGTGGACTATGGACTGAACATGTTTGCCACTCAATGCCTCTTTTGCAGACCACAACACTCAAAAGGAGAGAGAGAACACAAGGGATTGCCCTGCCACAGAGGCAGGGGGGGGGGATGGGGGGATGGGGGTGGGAGGGATATTATCCATGGTGGTGGAAAATGGGCACTGGTGGAGGGATGGGTATCTGATCATTGTATAATCAAACCCAAGCACAAAAAATTGTAAATCTACAACTGTAACTCATGGTGTTTCACTAATAAAAAAAAAATTAAAAAAAAAAAAAACACTAAACTATGTCATTAAAACATGTTTCTACAATAGTGTTCTTCACCTCTCTGACCCAAATGAGACACACCACCAGGCCCCAAATAAAGATGGTACTTTCAAAGGCCAAACTGAACTAAAGGTGTAAGGATATTTTTCTTACTTTTGGGACAGTTATTACTTTCTGTACCTACTTTTTCATTAGGCCAAATTTAAAACAAGTTATTAAATCTCGATATTATGAAGCATTACTAAAAGCAGAGTTGCTTTCAAGATATTAAAAATCACAGTAATCTTTAAAGTTATAAGCCTAAAAAGAACACTAGTTTGATAGTTCATTATACTCTCAGCTGTTGTAAAGCAGGATAAAAATAACAAGATTAAGGAGTAAAATACAAGAGCTGGAAATCTTAAATGCCCACCTTACTTGCTTACAAAGCAGGTACTTTCCATAGATTTCTGTTAAAATGATTAAAAGCTCCATGATGAATATAAACTAAAAGGAAACAAACTACATAATGCATTTAAGTAGGTATAGGTGGAATTTTACAATAATGCTTTTAAAAGCAAATTAACAATGATCTCAGGGGTTATGTTTTTATGGCTTTTTCCCTCTAAAATGTTTCCATTTTAGGGACCAGGGAATACAGCTGGGTAAGGAGCTTGCCTTGCACACAGTCAACTTGAGTTCAATCCCAGAGGCGTTCCACATGGTTCTGTAAATTGGCCAGGAGTGATTTCTCGGCGCAGAACCAGGAGTAACCCCAAAGCACTGCTGAGTGTGATGTCCCACAAAAATTAGGGGGGAAAAAAAAAGTATGGGCTAGATAACATAGGGGGTAGGACACTTGCATTACTCCCAGCCAACCTGCATTTGATCCCCATCAATCATATGGTCTCCCAAACACCACCAGGTGTGGTTCAAAGACAAAAACTAAAAAAATTATTCGTTTTGGTGAAATCGGCAGTGTCGGATTTTAAAAAGGAATGGAAATTATGTATAATATAATATATACATCACACTATTTTATTACCTATGAAAGACTTCACTGACTTTCAAATTTCTAAAATATGATAGTTTAGCTATATAAAGTAGTACCCTGAAGATATTACTTCAAATGTTTTAGCTGAACATTATCTACCAGGGATATTAATATTGACAATAAAGCATTATTAATAGGTATTATTTCAAAGATTGAAAAAAAGAAATTGGGAGGGGCTGGAGCAATAGCACAGTGGGTAGG